GGGTGGCAGAGAAGATTCTACAGGTGACAGGGAGTGAGTGTGGCCACACAGGGACTTGAGAGGGTCCTTTGGAGTCGCCACAGATCTCCCCGCCAGGCCACATCTTAGCCTAGTTTCCCCCAAAGGCCAGCAACTCAACACCACCTTGACAATTTGGCTACACTCATTTGCCACCTGGGCTCTTATGTACTAAACATTTTTCTTTACATTGGTTTACTTTCTCTCCCAACTGTTTGTTTCAACAAATTTCAAACCTGCAGCAAAGTTGGAAGAATAGCTTCAAGAACCCCCAGGACAGGACTTCCCTGGTGGCGCAGTGGTTAAGAATCCACCTGCCAATGCAGGGGACACGGGTTCAATCCCTGGTCCGGGAAGATCCCACATGCCTCTGAGCAACTAAACCTGTGCGCCACAACTACTGAGCCTGTGTGCCACAACTACTGAGCCTGTGTGCCGCAAGGAAGGGTAGCCCCCCTTCGCCACAACTAGAGAAAGCCTGCAAGCAGCAACAAAGACCCAATGCAGCCCAAAAACAAATAAAATTAAAAAAAAGAACCCCGTATCCCCCTCACTCAGACACTCCAATTGTCAAAATTTTGCCACATTTGCTGTCTCTCTGTTTCTCTCTGTACATACAGTTAAAAAAAAGCAACATGCAACCACAAATAACAAGTGTTGGCGAGGGTGTGGAGGAAAGGGAACCCTCATGCACTGCTGGTGGGAAGGTAAATTGGTGCAGCCACCATGGAGAACAGCATGGATGTTCTTCAAAAACTGAAAATAGAGTTACCATATGATCCAGCAGTCTCGCTCCTGGGTATGTATCAGAAGAAAATGAAAACACTAGTTCAAAAAGATACATGCACACCTATGTTCATAGCAGCATTATTTACAATAGCCAAGATATGGAAGCAACCTAACTTTCCATCAACAGATGAATGGATAAAGAAGATGTGATATATATATATATATATATATATATATATATATACACACACACACAT